AGTAATAAAAACAGCATAACRGCTTCCAAAAGGAGTACCAGGGAATCAAGTCTAAACGCAATAAAGGTCTCTACTTCGTTACGGCGCGGAGCGAAGCGCTTTGTGGCTTGTGGTTACGCAGCAGAGCTTCTGGGGGTCCTTGGGAACTGGATTTTCACTGCGTGGAGGTGCTTGCAGCAGCCTGGGCTCTGCATCTCAGCTCGTCCCCGCTTAGCAAAGGAGAGAGAGCAGCTGAAGGGGCTGCTGCAGCTGCAGCGTGCCGGGGCTCACGCTGGGCCCCTGCTTGCTGCCGTTATCCGCCCCTGAAACAGGAGGCTTTTAGCTCTGGGAACATCTGCTGCGTCTTTCAATATTTCTTAGTATTATGAATATTTAATACTCCCCAAAGTTTTCCCCCTTTTAATCAAGAGGAAGGAGTTGCGGTGGCGTGTTTCCCCCAGATTTAACATTGGACTCATTTTTTTTTAAATATTAATGTATACCTAGGCTTTCCTAAAGACAATTTTCACTAGGAAACAATGGGATGCCATTCCAGATACCCGCTGAGGCTGCTACACCTTTGCCCAGGACAGACGGACGAAGATGTGGTTGGGGAAGGACCCCGCTTCTGGCATGGCCAGAGCCCTCCAAAGGGCTGCTCAGTGTCTGCACCCCACTAAGTGCCCCAGGCCAATTAGCACCGCGTGGCCGGGATGCTAATCGGGCCTGACGGGCGCCGGTTTAAGGAGATTCCCCGGGAATTGGAGCGCTACCTTCCCCAGTTTGAGTTGGCTGCGAGCGCGAAACACGACCCGGTCTGGAGAAGTTTCTGCACTTACCATGAAGCAAATATGCCACAGGTATCAAGCAGGCTTTGTTGTGAGGGCTCTAATCATACTGCAAATTGAACATTTCCACATGTGCGAGCTGGCAAATCCAGCCTCAGCTATCTCGTATGTATCTGCCCCCAGGTACAGATGCTGGGGTCCTGACATAGCATAATACGGATCTAAATATATTTTCCAGATTGCCTTAGCACATGCTAATGAAAATGAGGAATAAAGGCCTTAAAGAAGCAGCTGTTAAAAATTTTCCTCAATCCCAGAAAATGTACTTCTTAATTACTGATAATTTAGCATCAAAATGACCACCAACCCTTTTCTCCCACTAGACCCTCCCAAGCTGGGAGGCCTCTTCGAAGACTTGCAGGAAAAACTTTTACTTAAAAGCAAGCCATTTCATTACATTTCCCTAGCCTTTCTGGAGTTAATTAGTATTAAAATACAGCAGGAAGAGGAGGTTCCACTCGGAAGGCAGCATCTTGCAGCCCCTCCAGTCAGTTTGACAGAGTGGATGCAGGTGAAGGTCATCCACAACAAATTATATGAAAGCACTTCTGTATTTCCATAGCACCTTCCCTAATAAAAGGCTCCCCAAACTTTCCGGAGTGCATTTATAAATTATAGGTATAAATAGCTGGCATTGCCACTAAGCTATAGAAGCTTCTGGGTCAAGGAAAAGGGAGCCCTGGCAGGACAGGGCAAGGGGGTCGTGGTCGGTCTGGTTGATGGTCGTGTCCTGCAAAATGCAGCCAGTAACTGCGGGAAAAAGAGCTCCAGCCTTGTGAGAAGCACCTTGGGACTGTGAATATTGGTGGGGCCTCTGGTGAGGGATTATTTGAATGCTATTCCGATTAAAATCTCARTCCTGGGAAAACGGCAAACTTGGATTCATTTGCTGCTAGAACAAAACAGTTTTCAGCAAGGTGGAAGGAAAGGAAAAACCCCAGAATACCGTGTTTTTTAGTTTTTGTTATTTAATGCCCTCTCCCCASGTTTTCATTAGGGGAATCTGAATTGCAAAGCTGAGCATTTAATAAAGTTGGCACCATTTTCTGTCCTGAAACAAAGGGTGAATTAATAGGGCTATTGGAATCCACATACTAGGTGTATGCAAAAAACGTACAGAGACTTTCAATGGGATGGGAAAAAAGACAGTTTTGGCCAGCAGTCAGAATACATTTWACTTACAACAGGAGCCCTGGCAAGGTAGGCGGGCCTGGACACGGAGAAAGGCTCTTCTGTTTAGTCCTGGATGGTCTTGTTTGGTTTAAATCATTACTGGAAGCATCTTTAAAATGAGCTCGCTTTTCTGTGCCACTCTTTGACTGACCAGTGAAGCCACAAACGAGACTTAATACGTTTGGAAGGCAGCRGAGCCCGGCCAAAGGATCCAGTAGTTCAATGTATAAAAAGAAGGAACTGACAGAAAGTTTTAAAGTTCAAGACATGCGTGTAGCAACTGGCCGAGCTGAACCTCCCGGAGCAAAGCAGGAGCTCCAGTGTTTTCCTAATAACTTCCCGTCCCATCATTCTGCAAATGTGGCGATTCCATAAAACGGGAACAGGGGCTCAGACCTGCTGGGGGGGCGAGGGTTTGGGCCAAAGTGAAATATTGATTAATCATCTTGTCGCTCTGGTAGTTTGTTATGTTCAGCAGATAGAAACTGAGACCATGATACGCAGAGCYGTCGTGTCATAAACGCTCTGTATCGTGTGGGAATGATTATTGATTTAGGGAAAACTACCCCAGTAGGTTGAACAGTAGGACGATACTGAAAGAATTTGAAGGATTTTTTTTCTTTTTTAAGTACATATTGTTTTTCTAGGAAAAGAAAAGAAAAATCACCGTAGCCAGAAATCACGGGCCTGACTTTGCAAGCTCTTCACATGTGGGCAAGTACGTTTGCTCCTGTCTGTGTGGTCCAAAAAGGAATTTATGACACAAACACAAAAATTGCTCTGTCTTGTGGGTTTGGTTGGTGTTCTTTTGTTTTCTGCTTTGTACTCAAATGAAATAACGCAATTTCGATTTGCTTTTTGGCTGCTCTCCTGTGGACTATTGCTGCCATTGAGGAAACGCAAGGAAAATCAGGATCATGTTAAAATGTAGAACTGAAGCTGAAGGAGCCTGACAGATAAGGTAGTCCTATAACGTCACAAATTCTGCGTTTTCGTGCCAAGGAACCTCATCAGTGAGCAGAGAGCTGCTGTTTTCCATGCTCTGCACTAACTAGCCTCTTGGCACACTGCAAAGGAACTTCTTTCACAGCCCAACAGTAGCAATAAAAAAAAAGTTTAARAAAAMCCTTTACAAGTGGGTCTATATGAGTAATGTCCATATATAAGGATGCTTCAGCTGCTTTTCCTTCAATCCCTTGATGTCCACATGTTTTGACTGGATGGCAGGGCAATTGATCTTCTGCTCTTCTTGCTACACCAGGAAGGTGGCTCTGGGATTTGGGCATTTCCAGGAGGTCCTGTGGGCCGTGGTTCTTCACCAGCATTTGGAGCCAGCAAGAAGGTGTCAGCTCAGGAGAACCACTCCCCAACAGTCAATAAAAGCTGCTTGGCAGAGTTAAAGCAGCCYTACAGGTCCTCAGAAGGAGCAGGTTCCCTGCTGCCTATTCAATGGGAGTGCAGCTCTTAATTGAGCACATTAATCCCTGCAGAAACCTTCCCACCCTTTCTCCACCTCCAAAATCCCCTTTCATGTAGGCCAGGTGAGGGGAGCGCTGATAAGAACTGTCAGCCCATCACATTAAAGGGGAAAAAAAATCTGGAAAGCTGTTTGCAGGTAAAACTTGACTTGATTAATGTCTTTGTTCCCTTTACTTGGCAGTGACCTAAAGTCATGTTCCAAAGTGGCTTTGAGCAAAAAAGAGTGGCAGRTTTGTGTGGTTACCTGCCCATACGYGGCCGCTGGCCGAGAGCAGAGCCGGTGAGCGCGCTTGCTTGCTTGCTTTTCTCCTAGGTRTGGATTCGGGTCTCACATAGAGAAACGTGCAGGCCCACAGGTCACTGCTTGGCATCAATCTGTGCTTGGGGCTGGCACCAAGAGCTGCTGGTGGAGGCACCTGGCTCCATCTGCTGGGGCTTGGTCCTTCTCTTGCTGTTGAGTGCAGGAGAAGACAGAGATGTGCATGTGCCCAGCTTACCGCTGGCTTTTCTGCACATCCCGCTGGTCTGCTCGGCCACAAGAAGCAGGGCTCTGATCTCGAAGGGAGTGCTCCAACTGGAACATCTCTTACTGCTTTTAGACCTGCAATGCTCCCTTAATGCTGACACAGTCTATGTCCCTTAATGCTGACACAGTCTATGAGGGATTGTGGTGCTCCCTCTCAGCCTTGTTTCTGGAATACGTGCCCATGCTTAGTTGGATGTTCCAAGCCACGAGGCTGCCCCACCAGCACACCCAGGGCTGGCAGCAGAGCCCCCCAAGCCCCAGGCTCTGCAGCACAGCTCCAATGTCACCTTGTCCTCTCTGTAAAAATAAGTGAAATATTTCTCTTTTCCAYGGGAACATTTTGAAGCTTCAAGGCATGATCTAAAGCCTTCTGCTGTGACATTGGCTCAGGCCCTAAATCACAGGACGAGAGGCTTCCCGGTGCCACGTGCCACCGCCAGCCTCGCCGTGACCACCTGAGCTCCGCAAGAACCAGACAAGAAAGAAAAAGCTCCCATCAGGTTTGTAGTCCTTTATTTTCTTTTTTTTTAATATTTTTTAAAGTCGATCCTCCCATAGTAATGTACTGAAATGCGTAACAGTTACATTGTACAAAGCATTTAAAGAAAGTACCTCAACTTGCCGATTATTCCAAAATGAGATTATAAACAAAAGGAAAAAATAAATCTGGTCCCTCACTAAAGGCCAAAAAAAAAAAAAAAAGAAACCCCGAAAAAATAACTGAATACCTTCCGTTATTTATTTATTTTTTTTTAAACATAAATTTGGAACACTTCATCTTACAAATAGGATTAACATGAACATAACATCACACAAGCTCGCAGACAACCAGCATAAAATATTGGGTACAGTTTTTAATCAGAAGAATCATGCTTTCATGAAGAAATTATAACTGTTTATACAATTGAATCAATTTACTGTATTACAAAAAAAAAAAAAAAACTAAGTCGCATCTATTAGTTATTTAGTTCATTAAAAGGAAAAAAAATAAAATAGGAATGTAAGAAAATTTCAAACACTGTTTTGCACTCCCATATACACAGATCAGTTCACCTCACTTATTTTGAAGTACATGGGTGCCTGCATCATGAAGCAGTGGGGGACTGGAGCAGTGCTGTTTGTTATCGGAACAGTGCTATTTTAATCAACAAACAACTGTTTGCCAACAAATAAATACATGGTACACACAACACAAAGAAGAAATTAGAGGGGGAAGGGGAAGGAAACGATACAACAAAATAGTGACATGATTGTCTAAAATTAAAAACTCCTTACAACSATTGGAACTAGTGGTACTGACGATGAACATGGTGCTTTCACGGAATTAGCTGGATGATTTAGCGTCTTGGAGTAGTGAACATTCATAGTTTACAATATACACAAGCCTCTTACGAATTGCTTCTCACAGTTCTTTTTTTTTCTTTTTCTTGTTTTTCCTTTTTTTTTTTAACAATGCAGTTGAGAAGGCAAAAGAATTATGGAGAGAACAAAACATTCCCTATTACTTGCTTCTACAGTTAGGATGGAGAGAGTGCATTTGGTAGAACTATTTTCTGTCTTTGAAGGGCTAAAATGCATAAAGCTTTAATGAAGAGATTTGTACATAAAAGCAACTGTTCCCAATCCTGTGTCAAACTATATTATACAAAAAGAAAATCAATTCAGTTACTACTTTAAAGGAGTGCCCATGTGTGTATCAATGCAGTCTTAACCCTTTTGCCCCTGCCCCTCAAAGCCGGGTGAACTGGAAGACACTTTTTCCCGGCCCCGGTTTACATAATCCACTGAAACTGTTTTTTTTTTTTTTTAAGTCGCATTGATCCTCGAGAAGTCAGCAGCTGCCTTTGCTGTGCAAAACAAAATATTGAGAATAAATAGTTTCTTTCTTTTTAAAATTATTCAGTTTAAGGTCACCGGACTTTAAATGAGTGACCCTGCAGATTTATAAGGCATTCTGCTCAGCAGTCTTTTAAATAGTCACATACGAAAGAGCCATGCTACTGGTCTGGACTTGGTCCCACTCCTGGTACGACTTCACAACGTCATACGTGACTGATGGACTGGATGGCGCTGGATTCTGCGGCAGCTCTCGCCATACTGTGCCACATGTTGGGAGAACTATGGGGTGCGGAATGGAGGGAGTCCTTGTCGGAGAGAGAGAGCATCATGGCATAGGCCTGCGGGGAAAGCACAGGGAGAGCCGTCAGGTCCACGGGAGCCCTGCTGCATGGAGAACCACGCTGGCTCTACGCACAAAGCACGGAGCTTAGACCATGGATGGTACCCTCAACGCAACGGAAACATCACAAAGCGGCAGGGAGAACCACTATCCACCTTGGCTTTGCTGTAGCAGTGGTTGTTTCTGCTTCCAGGGGGGTTCACAAAGCTCTGAGAAGGAGGCAGCACTAAGCAGGCTAACTGAGTCGTGTTTGCCTTCACGTTCTTCTCAGCGACGTGTTCCCAAAGAAACACGTGAACTTTTGGCTGATATTCTATGTCAAAAAATATCACACTCTCCTTTGTTTTGTCCCTATGGGCGTATTCCAGGATTTTTAAAACGGGACACTTTTTAAAGACTCTAAGAAAATAACACTTATTTTCAAAATAGTGTTAATTGCACTGACATCTTAGTGGTATTTATTAAATATTATGAGAACGAATATAAGTTGAGGATGTGGAGGTACTAGCATCYCACAAATTTACCTGCTAAAAAAATAAAATAACTGGAAACTTGCTAGACTTGCTTGCACCCTCGCAAACAGCTTCACTCTGACCTGAGTGTCTGCCTGAAAACAGAACCTACCCAGTTGTTATCAGGGCATCTCTACAGAGGTGAAAAAGGCACATAGATAGCCCAAAAAAAGGCAAGAAAATACTGCAAGACCAGGGAGCAGATCATCCAGTGATCTGTGTGTGGTGGGGCTGTGGTATTCCAGGTGTTTTGGGAGAAGCAAGGGGTGCATTCAGGGAGCTTTAGAGATGTGGGGATCAGCCTGACTGGTGAAGCTAAAATGACCTTGCCTGACACATCAATGACTTTGTCATTTGGGTATCTGGCTGACACCAAAATTTCAATGGAGTTAAGCTTTTACCTGGGATTTGGATTTYCTGTACAACGGTTGTTTCAAGTCCTCCGGCAGCTGAGAAGTATTGAAAGCTGCCAATTCAGCTTCATTATATTGATTTTCTTCCATTTTCCTCATCTTGAGGCTATCTGTGAAGTGCCTTATGTGGTCCAAAGCCGAAAGTCCAGTCTTATTGTACTCGTCTTCCTTATACCTACAAAAACACCACGGAGGTTACGGGGAGTTTTCAGGTCGATTCAGGCTCCTCGGTGGCCAACAGTCCCCCGACCTCTCTCAGACACTTGAACCTGCTCTAAGCTGCCTCTCTTCTGGTCTCAGCTCAGCCTTTCACGAGACCATTGTGAGATTCAGGCAGACTTAAGGAAGAAGTAACACATCTCACCCAAGCATTTCCTGCCTCGCTCTGAACCTGAGCTCCATAAGCAAAGTTATTTTTCCTCTTAAAGGCTATGGATCGCACGGAGAGACTGAAAATAGGGCCAGTATTGACCAAAACACAGATGCACGTTGCTATTGTTACTGGGAAGTTGGCTACTTAGGACCATTTCCCACAGCACAACAGATTCTGGTGTTGGCACCCTTGTATGGGTTATTGTTTGGGTGTCGCATATTGACTGCACCAATACTAGGAAGGAACCAACCTGCCAGGGGAAGCCTTGCAGTTCATGTCCAAAGTACTCGTTTCCTCGTAGTCTTCCTCTGGAGATCCCTCATGTATGTCACTCGTAACAGGTTCTTTGACTGCTTTCCCTGCAATTTCAGTTTCTTCATCTTCTTCGTCCATCATTACTTCATCTTCTGCCTCCTCATCATCCAACAAATCTGAGTTCTGGCTGGCTACCATGGCTTTCTCATCCTTAAAGTGGCTGCCATTCATTCTGAAAGCATCAAAATAAATATGCAATAATCAAAGATCAGTTACAAAAGCTCAGCACCCATGAGATAGATTTGAAAAAAAWAATCTCCCAATAGAATAGCAAGATTTCCAGACAACTCTTTATTTTGCATCCTGCTTAGCTTGAGATGTTTAGGCAGTACTGTAGAAAATTCCAGCCCCAAATCAGTGAGATGTTGCAGTGCAATCAGCATGTGATTTTCCTAATATCCTAAGGGTCTAAAAAGGTGATTTTCAAAGCTCAAGAGTGATGTTTGGAGCTGTGTTCAGCTATCCATTCTACGTTTTCTCATGCACCATTTCATCTCATGTTTCCAGTCACATAGATACATGACTGGCAAAAGTCTGGGCAAAATAACTCAATAAATTTTAACAGAAGACGTAGGAGCAGAAAAACTTTGAAGAAGATCYGGCATCTTCAAAAATGATACCCCTTGGTTCAGAGTTTTTGAGCCAAGTTCACATGCATAATTAATTTTGCTCCCAATACCATCTGTTTGGAAGCCTTACTACTTAACTGAACTTTTGGATTACATACACAAGCACCTGAATGGGGTCTGCTGAAGACCTTCAACATTGCCTCAACACTGAGCCATGTTATTGACTTATTTGAAGGACTGCAGTAACTGAAAGGTCACCAGCCTCATACAGTATTTTAAGTAAGCAAACTTTCTCCTTATTAAATAAGTAATTAAAGCAATAAGCATGTGGAAAACCTCCTGGTCTATATACTGTTATTACATTGTCTTTTGCTTTCAAACAATGACTTACCTACGCTCACAAGACATTTATCAACACATAATATCCATGCTGACCTAGAGGCTTAGACTCCATTTGATAAAGTCCTCRTCCCTGTCTGATTGAGACTACCTGCAGCTGCACAGCGTGCAGGGCATTGAACAAGAGCTCTTGGCCATTGCCAATGCATTGATATCTACAGTCAAGGCAAGTTGTGGTATTAAAGGGCTGAATTCAGCGTCTCCGTGCAAATGTATGGCAATGGTGTAGCTGGTGCGCCGCTTTACGTAATCTGGAGGCTTTGATTCATCTATTGTTTTAATTGTGCAAAAGGTCCTTACTCTTCCAGGAATACAGTTACAAAAATGGAAACTGTATTGTCTGCCCATGGTTAGCTTTAGACTCTATACGCTTCAAACTGTGCAGGACAATATGGACCATGGCAAGAGCTTTCCCAGGGTAAGGATGAGCCATGTTAGAAACATATCAGATGTTGAACAYTTGACTCGCCTTTATAACAAATAGACATTCTAGAGAGTGTGTAAGTGAAAGTCAGTTTCTTCTAAGATGATCGCATCATTTATCTAAATACAGCCAACTTAGATCTATCTTCTGAGCAAATTCCTGATGATTATTACAAGTTCATACTTAAGAAAGGGCAGGGAATGAGCTGTTCATACTACAGTTTGAGAAAATTTGAGGTTGTACCAGTGCTGGAAAGCTGAGGCAAACACCTCCCTCCAAGCTAATCAGAGCAGTATCTCTCTATCATCCTTTACCTAAACAGGCACATATAAGAAATTGTTGAGGGGAGTTTGGGCTGCCAACTTGCTTGTTATGTTTGATCAAGACTGCTAGAAAGGAAAGGGAGATGGACTAAAACCAAAGTAACAAAAGCCATGTGATTAAGAAAACAGATTCTCTAATTATGCTTTCAAATGCAGTAATTTGCCAGGGATAAAATATCCATCAAAAGCAGTCTGAAGTGCCAAATTCAGAAAGGAAACACTGCATAACCCAGCAACCTTTTCACTTTGCTGACTTCCTGTTGGAAGACATGTTGAGACCAGATGTGCAAAGAAAAAAATCCCGAGCCCTCATTTCCAATCAAGATGGAATGAAATTTGAATATGCATGTAATCACTTAATCCAATACTTTCATGGAAATTGTGTTATGCCCACCATTTTTCTTCCCTCACAAAGACATCTGCAAATTGAGAAGACAGCCAAGTTTCTCGCTAACAGTAAGAATTTTTTGATGTCGATAATGCAATGCAAATCAGCTGAAAAAACACTGAACCCCATGCCCAGGCCCAAAGAAATATATATAGTCTATGTGCATACCTACATAGCAGTCTTTTTTTGTGTGGCTATGTTTCTATTAGCTGAAAACCTTTATAAGTGGTCTCCCTTCTGTCAGTTTTGAAGAACTGAAACCCACATGTCCACTTGATTAAAAGAAGTCTCTCAAAATTTAGAATGCTATGAGCTACCACCAGCCTCACTGATTTTCTCCTAATAAGTATCTTTCTTGGCGTCAAGCTGCCTGCTGGAAAGGACTTCCAGTAACAATCTTTCATTTATTCTTAAGAATTTACCTTACATTTAAACTGTAAGGCTTTCTAATCCTCTCACGTTTACCTGTTAGATGTAGAATTCAACTCTTTTGCAGCGGATTCAAAGCTAAGGAATTATCTAATAGACTGAAACTGGTAAACAGCAGTGTTAAACCAAGGGTTTCTGAAGTTGTTCATAGCTGCTGCCCAGACTCTGCCTCCAGTAACGTGCTCATGCACGACTGGGAAGGAATCAACATATTTCTTTTTTAGAAGATACTGGTGTGAAAACTGAAATGACCAGATTGCTAAAATTGTTCTGGTCCAACACAACAGTACTGTTGCAAAAAACAAGCTTAATATCAACCCAAACAGGAGAAGGGAGAGTGTCGCCTTGTGAAGGACAACCAGGCCAACTTACCTCTCCTCTGAGCTTCTAGGGGATTGATTGTTGTGGTTGCTGTTCCCAATGAAATTCCTAATTTCTGTGAAGTAAGAATCTTCCTTGTCGTCTAGGATTGCCCCTGTGCTTTCAAGTTCTGAGTGAGGTGAAGATGTTGCAGTACCTTAACGGGGTAAAATGCAGCAGTTTGGTTGTTGTTCATTTACATTTTATACATTTAACATTAATTTACATTTTATACATTAAACGGGTGAGGTCCCAAGAGAGCTGTCCAGAAGGGTCTGTCGTCTTTTGGCTGCAATATTTGTAATTAGAAGGCAAGTATTATTATTTCATAGGCTAAGATTGGTGTCCAGCCAAAATTACTGCTTGTATGCAGGGTGCCTTTGTTATTGTTTATAACTGCTTTTGCCAAATATGTATTTCAACATCTCCTTCCTGTTACCTCACAATTTCTATAATGTCAGTCAACAACTGCTAGGGCAGTGGTTAAATGAAGCAAATGGAAATTAATTTTAGCTACTGATTATGTAGCTTTGCTTAAAACATGGAGCAGCCATTGACATAATCGTCAAAGTCTATATTCATTTAGCCCTTGGAGAACTAATGACAGACACCTTGGGGGCTACGGAGACCCCCAACACTTCCCTCCAAAGCAGCCAGTTCTTTCTATCTCCTGACAGCTGGGATACTTCAGAGGATGCCAAAAATTCTTGTAGAGCAACCCCTAAAACTCTGAAGTCAGGACTCCTATTGAGAGCCAAGGTGGGATGCCAGGTTGCAACCAATTTTGCCAGGCTGTTCTCAAAATGTTACACTTGGCTTAATTAAAACCAAAAGAAAAGACATCGTCCAGTTGCRTTGTTATGCAAAGACAGCATTTATGCAGGGATTTTCAAAGGTCTTTAATTGTCAACAGAGCTTATGCACTTATATTTTTCCAAAAATCCGTTCACTGGAGCAGACAATGCAGAATGACTTGTGTCTCTGCACCCTTGGTGTTCAAAGGCAGTGTCGAGAGTGAGGAGGAAGAGCATGTGCATGAGTGCTGATACACGTCGGGGGCGAAGGAAAGGCACAGGGAACCTACCAGACATGTTGCCGTTCTCGTGCTTTTTCAGATGTCTGTCCAGATTTGTTTGCTGACCAAAACACCTGTCACACAAGTGACATTTGAAGGGCTTCTCTTTATTGTGGATGTTGCGGACATGTCTCTGCAGGTTAGAAGATATGCTGAAGGACCTGTCACAGTACTTGCATCTAAAATAACAAAAAGAGGGAGGAGAAAGGGGCTTGTTAGGAGCTGGAAACACAAGATCTGTCCTAAGAGACACGCCGCCCAGTCCCAGTCAGTGCTCAGATGTAGTCTCTTGGTGGCTCTGCAGGAAAAGCCTTCCCTGAAATGAAGAGATATTCTGCCTGAGTAGCTGAGGAGCAATGTTCTGGCACTGGAGATGCCATTTCTACAACCGGCTTTTTTTAGCTTTAATTTATACTCGTCTTTAAAAATATTAATCTAGGAAGAAGCATAATGTTTCAGAGTTAATTGCATCAAATTACCTAGGGTAATTGATTCCTGTGTTTTTGTAACTGTTGCATGCAAAGTTGGTAAGTTTGAAAACAGTAGAGCAATAACTCTATTGTTTCATGTGCTGCCAATACAATACAATTAAACACTTCTGGAAAACACATGAAACAGATCCCTTYTAATGCTCAAATAAGGTAAAAAGGGCTATTTCTTTTCCTATTCTAAATTATACTGTGTGATTAAATCTTTTTTTGAGGAATTAGCTTGCTCGATTGCTAATCCCAGAGGAAATTCRGTTATCTTGCAAAAACCAGCAATAAACAAACCCAACCTTTAATACCGTGCCAATGCGAGTAGTTTAGTCTATCACTCTGGTACCAGAGGCATCAATTTTCATACTCTGCAGTGATTTGGAGTCCCTAAAGCCTTTACTGTATTGCTCTTTAAGCCATTACTAAGTCGTACCATAACTATTCCAAATTCTCTTGTTGGCAACTAGCCAACAGTCTTCATCACTCTCGTTTTTCAATCTTCTACTTTCCCCATACTTCAAAACATGTCTCTCACACTGTCGATGAAGTCAATTTTTTAGTGCTGAAAGTATCCATTATGCTACTAATTGTTCCTGGCTTTTATGCAGTGGACAAGTACAACATGGATCAAGACCTCTCTTGAACAAAATTAGATGTGAATCCCATTTCCCTAAGAGACTTCCCTCTGCCCCCMAAAAAACATATTGTTTCCTCACAAACAATGAGCTTACTCTGCTCTTTACAGGTCATAAAATGTATAAATCTGTGTATTTGTTTTACTRGAATATGAACTGGCTTCTTTCCAGTTGATTCAAGTTCATCTTTCTTTTTCAATGCCGTATAAAGCTCCTACACTCATTTCTGCCTGTACGTAGCTGTCCTGGATACTGATGCCACTTGCATGTCAAGGTAGGTCTTGGTTAAGCAGGCAGAGCTCAGAGAGGATCCGTGCTGGGCAGGAAACAAATTAACAACAGTAATGGGAATCTTTCAGAAACCAAATCATCCAGAAAATACCCAACTTGAGGCTGCAACTAACACTGGGTTCTTGTGGAAAGACTTCTGGGAGGGGAAGGTGATCATGATCTCTACTGAAAATCCCTTCAACYGTGATGGCCGAAAGGTGCCAGGTATCCCACAAGGCAAGGACAGCTGCTGGGAAGGCCCGGGGTAGCAGGCTAGTGAATATTAGGTATTAGCCATTCAAATTTTACAAGCTACAAGCAAAACCTTCCTCCTCCTTGCAGCTCCAACACCAAGCAGCAGCTTGGGATGTAGCTGCTCTTGTTTAGACAAGCACAGAAAGGTCTGCTCAAAACAGGCAAATTGGCATGTTTGCTGATGTCCCTGCAGAGGGATTCTCAGACAGCTTTAGTTTCTTGCAACAAATACAACTTTTAATGGTATGTTTAACTGGGAAAGCAGCTCAGCCAGTAAGGAGCACTTCTCGGTCAAGACAAAAAGCCACGGACCTCTACTGACAAAAGCTTGTGTAAACAAAAKAAAAAGCAGGTAATAAACAGTGAGTAATTCCCTTAAGCAAGAAAAGAGCTCCATGGACACATATTAATGCTCCGCAAGCTGCGCCCATTTTCTGTAGGAAGCCCAAACACAATGCTGGGGAGAGAGGAGATTTCCACAGCGCCTTCAACATAATACGTCYGCTTGCCTCACTGGGATTTATCTTGGTAACTTCAAAAATCAACCTTGCAAGGCTTGCATTCACAAACCTGCTGTGAATAAATAGCTAAATAAATACCAGTGAGTCACACTGGGGCTATGGCAACACGTGCACACACCTAGACACAGCAGCGGGCGCCAGGGAGCCCAAGCACAGGCTTCCTGGCCGTGGGAATGTGCCTTTCCTGACAGCACCAGCCTTCCACCCTCACATTCACTGGGGCCAGGGGCAAAGCCATCCCCAGCTTCAATGGGCTGTTAACAGCTCAGTGCTGGGGCTGTTGGAGAAGGTGCTGCTTTGCTCCCGTAACCRCGACACGAGTTGTACCTGTAGGGCTGCTCTCCAGTGTGTGTCCTTAGGTGACGTGTTAGGTTTGCAGATCTCGGGAAAATCTTGCCACAGTATCTGCGAAGAGAGATCGGGTGGTAGGATAAACAAGCTCTGCTGGGTCCAGGCTGCACAAGTGGCACAGCCAGGACTGAGCGATGCCTGGTCCTGTCAGCATTGCTCTGGTAGCTAACACTGCCATAAAAGCGCTCAGCAAATAATGCAGCAAATCAGAGCTGGAGGATGCCAACATACACAGGTGGCCATACGCACGGAACCCCAGTCGCTGGCACGGACTGGCTTTTCTGGCACATAAGCAAGTGACAGATGAAAGCACAAACTAGTTTTAAAGAAAGCTCACCCCAAATTTCGAAGCTCGCTAAGAGCTTTTCTGTCATGTTCAGATTTGGGATCTGAAAACCATTATTAAAGCCTTGGGTTTCTGGCTCGAGGTAGGCAGATTTCAAATCTTTCAACTCATTCTCCGTGTCAGCTAACGTGACATCATTCTGTGCATTGAATGGGATCAGACCAGACAAGATTCAAAGACCTAATCCATCAAGGTATGTTTCTATAACAACATGTCTCGAAAGAAGGTGACATGTTTCTAGAAAGAGCAGATAAACTGATATGCCAGTGTCAAATGCCTGTGCATGCTGGAGATGATAGAGAGACCTAAATAATGGAATTTAAAACTCATTCTCCAAACTCAGCAATATGTCACAGGAACAATAACAGCAAAAAAAAAGAAAAATGTCTTGAGCTCTACATTTACCCTTGAAGTAAAACATTACAAATTAGTTTATAATTGGCTCAGTTCTATTAATCACATCCAGCCCATTTTGCATAGGGACAGAGCATGCACAACTTGCTCTCAAGTGAAAAAGGGTAGTGGTTGCTCCACGTGGAGACTTTCAAGTGCAACATTTTATTTTTAAGATCCTATGTATTTTTTGTCACCATGACATATAAGCTCTCAAAATAACCATGCAGCTAATTTTACTCTTGCTGACAAAGCTACAATTCATTGTAGTTGCATTTACAATGACTGTTTTCACTGCAATTAAAGTCTGCACATGTATGTCCTCATAACTCCATCACGTTATCGTTGATCTCTTTGGACATTCAGGACAGAAGCCAGGGGAAAGCATTTCTGCAGCATATGATCCAAAAATTAACAGTGAGAGAACACCCATTAACATAAAGGTGATGAGCAAATTTGGGAAGAGATATTCATATAATAGTTCCACTTACAAATCGGGGGTGAGCCAGGGTGAATTCCTTGCTTGCCAACCATAAAGGACAAGAAAAACGTGACCAGAAAAGCCAAGGAGGTGCCCTCACCTGCAGGTGTAGCGCTCCTTGCCCTTGCGCAGCAGGTTCTCGGGCAGGGCGCTCGGAGGCGCTCGGAAGTTGAACATGGACGGCACCGACTGGATCAGCTCGCTGGCCTCTGGCTTCAGGGCGCTGAAGCTCTCCAGCTTCTCTGCCATGTTCTCGATGGCTGACATCTGCAACACACAATAACACGGAGGCCGTCACGGCGGGGGCGCCCCGGGGTTCTTCCCCCCAGGAGAGCCCTAAGAGCAAACGCTGCCTGGTTTAGAGGCGGCGAAAAGGCAAATGGGGAGTTGCTGGTCAAAAACCTGTGTGTGTACGTTGTGAGTGTGCAATTACGTGTTCATAGTTCATAGAATTAGTGTTCATCCCCTTGCTAAAGTCACTGGGCATTTTTAAACAAATTCAACATAAAAAACAGAGATCCCAACAACAATCGAATTAAGTGTGGTTAAAAAAATGAAAAATTGCAAGGACTAAGATTTTATAAATACTGCAGCTGAAGCAAAGGCTGCAAGAAGGCAGGTCCTGAGAGGCGCTGACAATGTCCCAGCTACATCCAGCTATTSAAGCAAGTCTTCTTGTACATCAAAGACAAACACTATGAGATGAATGCACAAAAACTGAAGTTTCTGTGCTTTTGGTGCTCTTTGTTTGCATTACCAGCTACATCCTGTTTTCCTACAAAACCCCAGATAAGAAAACCCCCATAGCCAAAAATGATCCAAGTCAACGAARCAGGAGTTGCAGTGAAGTCAAATGCTCTTCCCAGCCAAATAAAATKAACTTTGCTGTACGTGTAAATGCTTTGGGATGCCTCCATTTTTGATTCTTCACCATAAGATCTTCMAGAGCTCTACTTTTCATGGAGGGGTCATTAAATAATTTCTGAAGATTGGTTTCCTCTCAGTTGTCCTCAACTAACCACAAAGAACTAGTTGGAGGGTTCAAGATTGCTGCTGTACCTACTGACAGGCAAGACTAACCATTTGCCCATTCATATCACCAAAAAAACCCAACAAGAAACCCAAGAGCTGCACCTGAAGAGCACAGATGCCACTGCACAAGTCCTCTGAAACACCCTGCGGACAAGGTTGGTGGTGAAGGGGGAAGCTACATTAAACACCAGGCACCCCATGCTCCTCAGTGCTGCCAACGTTGGGTCCAAATTTGCTATTTCTTCTGAAGGCAGTTCTCTGAAGACACTAAGAGCAACTTTCCAAAGCAAAGACAGCACCGTCCCAGAGTAGGCATGGCAAAGAACAACCCACACTACCCCATGAGCCACGAGGTTGCTTTGCAATAACCCACGGTATTAACCAAGTGCTCTGAGAACACATTTAYGGCCTATCCTTTAAAATCCACCAGACACCTTTTTTTCTTTTCTTTTTTTCCATTTGCTTTTAATGCAAAGAATTGCGTGTTTGTCTCCTGAAATGACTATTCACGTGCTGCTTAGCTCAGGGCTTGGATATCGTTCCCCCTCTTGCCTGCAGCCTGCCCTCTCATTTCATGCTCAGACTCCTAATGCTGCCTACAAATTGCAATGTACAGGGCACCACTGCCAATTTGCCAAATGTCTTTCATCAAACACGGTGCGAAGGCAAAAAAAAAAAAAAAAAAAAAAAAAAAGATCTCAGAGGGAAGTCAAGATACATTTACTTGTCAGGCAACAAATGGGAAAGCATTGCAAGGCAGTAGGGGCTGTAAGTTCTGGGCTTTGATTCATAATCACTCAGCTGCTAAAACATTCTCCACAGATGCAAGCGGACAGCACATTTGTCAATATGAAGGATTTTGACACGTACTGATCACAGGCGTGAGCTATGTAATGATGATGCTGCTGGGATAGGAGGTAATTCTATCTTGGCTGAGAGATGTCATTATCAAGCTGCACAACTCAGCATTGCCTTCTATTTATTTTTATACGGCGTCATATCTGTCTTTAGCTGGAACTGCTCCTTAAAGCTTTCATGATAAGCTTTCCGCTGCCTTTAATTCCTTCTAATTGTTCCCTTCAAGAAATCCTCCTTCTACTCTGCAGTTGCGGAAAAACAAATGGCTTGGATGAAAAATGACCTCTGGCCTTCAGGCTGATTAGCAGTGACAAGACAGTGCATGGGTTATGATAGCACATATTTATGGGGAAGAAGAATAAGGCCATCGAGAAGTGTAATAAATGTTTTATTTATGTAGATTTAATATTCAAGTCAGTTTCATTATCTAGTGCTTTTAAATCCTTTCCAGATCACCATTTCTCATGAACCTGTCTCCCTACAGTAATACATTAAAGAAACTACTATTTTCCCCTTTACATTTAAAATGGCTTAGTCATGCTTATTTTTTTATTARTATTATTTTCAGCATTTTGCAGAGGAGAAATTGAGACTGATTCTTTTCCCATGCACATAGATGTAGGTCAGCAGCAACTCCAATAATTCCTGCAGGATTACATCTGTCCCGAAATAGGGATGATATCAGGATCTCCTCTTAAACCCCTCCTTCAGAGGAAGTACAGGCACTTCCAATTGTTTTAAAGTATTAGTAGGTTTCCAAAAATACATTTCTTACCACAGAAGTTACTATTGTCTGTTTTCCTAGGACTGACCATTTAGTTACCTGGTATGAATTCTAATTTTCGAGAAATGAACGAGCAAGAAAGCGAAGTGTTTGGACCTAAGTCTTCACAGCTAAGAAAGGGTGCTGCTCCACTGTTGCCTGTATAACCAGAGCAGTTAGAATTTGSCAAAGATAAATCAAAATCAGGACATTTTCTTAATATGGATGACAACAAAGGTACTGAAGGGTTAAAGCAGCAGAAGCCTGGGAGTCACCTAGATGCAGACTGGAGAAACTCGGGTGAGYGAGGGACTGCGAAGCCTTGAAGGAGGAAGCCCCAGGAATTCAAAAAGCTGCAAGTGGCAGATCTCTCCCCCGGTATTTTGGGGCACATGCCAGAAATGGGAAGTGTGAGGTCTTTAACTGGAGGCTGCATCTTGCTCGCTGTGGTTAATGGCTGAGGGAGCTGTTGCTCCCATTCATTTGGCTAAACCCTGTTTGAGTCCATTTACATTTCTGTCAAGAAGTTCACTGCTTTAATTAGGTGCATGTGAAAAGATACTGCCTTCCCTTCCTTTCAAGCCTTTTGCCTCATAATTCAGCCGGGTGCCCCTCATTTTTCTGTATTGTAAAAACTAATGAATACCCGTTTCTCAGGCAGGTTCTGCACACTATTCACGGCTTCAGGGCAGCGTGCCTGCCACAGCTCCCCCGGGCATTTCTTTCCCGAGCTGAAAAAGCAAAATCTACTTAGGCTCTTTTTGTATGGAAGCTATTCCATACCTCTGATCATCATTGTTGCACTTTTCTGTGTCCTTTCTGATTCTGCTCTAGCCTCTTAGAGAGGGACTTCAGCTGTATTCAYGACCTGAAAGCAATGTAACATAATGATGCTTTCAATGCCTTGCTGCTAAGATGACATTTTCATAGAACTATTGACTTTGGGATCTCTTTCCTGAATGATACCAGTTAAGAGATACACTTTCCCCTCTGTATGATTTGGTACTTACTGACACTGAGTTTTATTGCGATTTTAATCCCCAGTRACTCAACTTTCTCTGATTCTCATCTTCATGGTTACATTTGACAACTTTAAATACGCTGTTTCCTTGCTCATGCTCCTTCCTACAGTGTTTACAAATAAATTYAGCAGCTCATATTCCTGTGAGAACACTATGCAGACCTGGTGATAATCTTAACTGATAGCAAAAATTGCTAATTTATTCTTTTTTTCCTGACTCTATTCTTTTTTTAAGCTAATTTATAACCTCAGAGTTGACTTTCCCTCTTCCACAATGAAAGCACAGTTCCCTTCATAGTAAGAAGCCCTACTTCAGTTGAWGCACACAACCAAAGTCACACTTTCTCCTTCAAAACACTCTTATTATGACTTGTAAAGAATGAGGAGCCTCTGAGCTGTGCTGTGCTGTCCCCTTTGCCTCCACAGGAGCCCTGCTGACCTCTTTGCTTCCGTAGGAGGTGTGTTGAGCTCAGCCTTAACTGTGGAGCCGCTGCTATGGAGATGGTACCTGCTGAACTGGGCCATGGTGTCCTATGGAGCATTTGTCCTGGGAAGGAAGGTGGGTGTGAATTGCTTCTTCCAGCCTGTATCCAAAACCTCTTTCCAGGTCGAAGTCCTCCACTGCCAAAATCAAGACTAGTAACATTGCCTTCACCTGGCAATTATCACATGGGAAACGAGTTTCGGCAGCCTTGATATGGTCACCTCGTTTCAGCCTGGTGTTTCTTCCCTGAGATCTGCTAGATGCACCCCACCAAGGCAAACCATGCCTTCAAGAGCCCCGGAGCTGCTTGTCTTGGGCTCTGCATKCAGGGTCTCCAAAGACTTCTACCGAAGACCTCTCCCAGGAGCTGAAGCGGAGGCCAGGGCCCCGTCTTTAGCACAGCTTTCAGGAGGGGTTACATCCCAGCTGTACATCCCAGTCCAAGGTGCTCCCCGGAGGGGACACGGGGAAGCAGTGCCCGGGGTGGGAGGCACAGCATGACCCGGAGGATGGCATGAGTAGAACTGCTCCGTCCATGAAGAAAGGTCACCAAGCAGGCAGGRGAGCACTGCGCATTTTCCAGAGGAGTTACTGCCTTCTGGACATGTAATATCTGCTCCTAATCTGAGATCAGTGAATGACAGCACTTTATATAGAACAGTAACTTTTGATTTACATATATAAGCGTTGTTGATTCTATCTGCATCCAGATGTCTGGAAAAGGAAGCAGCTTCACCCCCACCTCCTCCTGCTCCCTCRGAGGCTATTAACCTCCGACTGACGCAAACTCATGTGTAGTCACCATTCCCCAGCTCGGGCTCCGAAACGCAGACATTACCATAATCGGCTAAAACAAGTATTTATAAACATTTCAGCAGGCAAGATATCATCAGCAGGGGCCTTGGATATTTGTCTTAAAATTTATTAACCAACCCAAGAAAAAGTGACATAAATAAAGCAAGGTTTGTTGTTGCTGTTTTTTAAGAATAACCTGATGATATGAAATAATCTAGCAGACAATGTCATGAATTACATGACCTAATGTTTTACAAACCGGACTCTTTTAATGCTATTATCGTAAAAACAACTGACTTTATGGCTATAACTCATGGGAAAAAAACTGTTCATATGTTTGTTTTCTATTTTTACTAGTGTTATTTAGAGGAGTCTCAAAAACCCAACTATTAAAGTTCCGGATTTCTTCCTCCCCAATTCAAGTTATAATGCTTCCTCTTAAAATTACGACTTGTGAATTTGTCATGTTTTAACTCTGTGCATCTGAACATCTAGCCATGGAACTTGGCTGAGCTTTAGTCCTGTCTKAAGGACCTGACACATGGGGCTGAACTTTCTGAAACGGTAGTGAGAAACTCAAGCTGACCTCTCGTGCAGATTCAGAACAACTCTGTTCCAATTAAATGGCATTTTAATTAATAGTGGGGATTTAAGCTCATCTGACAGAGGAATGGTGGGGATCGTGCCTTAAAATAAGTAAAATAAGCACTTTGCTAATAATTGCTTTGCTATGCACTCAAATTGTTTTCATTCGTTTCTAAAATTATTTTAATTATTTACAATGTGTCCCCATAAAGCTGTCGCAAATGAAAGCTGAATCTAATTCGAGAACCTCTTCCTAGCAGCTTTCTTTTGATGGCACCAGAAGGGGATGACAGAGTGGGCAGACTAAATAAATCGTGATCCATTCAAGAGAGGGTGGTTCTCATTGATCTGAGCTATGCAGTTGCTGCCAAAGAATGAAAAACAATCTGAAATAATCTTGAAATCGATGGCACACTTAAGCGTGAATTGAGATGGAGAGGCTCGTGTGCCATATTCAAATCTTTCAAGATGAAGATTCATCCATGAAGCAGCCTCCTCCTCTAGACCATTTATGCTTTAAACTCTTACTTCTACTTATAGCTACTTAAGCACCCAGCACGGCCAGGACATACACCAAACAACAACAGCAAAAATCGGGATGATGGAAACTTGAGGACACAGCCACTATCAATGCAAGCGGACAGAAGAAACAAGCTGCGCTGAATTTTGCAGCTTCCCAATTATTCTCAAAAAGAGCCACTTTTCTGAAATGCAGGCCAGATCCCAAACCCTTCCATGGCTCCTGGATAGTGCTATGTTGATCACACTATACCGCAGAGAAAATGCTTGGGAACCACTCGCGAGCTCTCCAAGTTGGATATTCACTCCTAGTTCCTCTCTGTTTATTGTCCAAGGCTTGCTCAGACTGAAGGGGGACGGAGATCTGCCAGCTCTTCCCTTGCTTTTTTTGCTTTTTTTGGTGCCAAGGAATTTGCCAATGAGAGGGGACGGGGTCCCCACTCATGCTGCCAGGTGCCTGGACCTGCATCTGGGAACGGATTGTGCACGTGGCAGCCCCCCTGCCCTGCAGGGCCAGACGTTCTCCACCCGTGGAAGGCTGCACTGAGACCCAAATCACCTCCCTTTAGGAGATTCTGTCCCCACGTTGTGAAATCTGTCTCTGTGTTTCGCTGTGAGTGATGGAGCAAGAGTGAGTCAGGACTAGAGCAGCAGCAAACTGGCCCCAGCTTCTCCCCAAAGCTGTGAGGTTTGGGAAAAATCCGGGACAAGTATTTATGGGCTCAGCACAGCAGCTGAAAAGCCAGGAGTGCACGAGCAAAACACAGCGCTACTTGAGTTGCATCTGCAAAAGCAGTTGCTGAGGCTCATGTTTTTATGAACAATTTAGGCATATTAAAAATAACGTTTTATAAAAATAGAAGAGTAAGCTCAAATTTATCCCATGGATGCTAAAAGCACAATTTCTGTTCGCATAAGGAGAGGCTATGTAAGTATACACACAGGACAAATTTGACCCAAACACTGCAAATAAATGGATGTTTTATTTGTGCTTTAAGTACAGCAGTGAGCAATTAGGCTCAAAACTTCAAAGCTATTAAAGTGAGCAACTCCCACTGAAGTCAATATGAGATAGAAAGATGAAGTCCTCTGAGTCTCTGTATTTTAATGTCTACAATGCAGATTAAATATTTATAACTATTGCAATCTAATAGGATTTCAGCCTGAAAAATTTCTCTCCAACCTCTGAAGCAAACAGCTTGGAACAGTTTCAGTTAAACATAAACAAAAATTGTGTTTTTAAAACCCTTACTGAGGTAAAGCTCCCAGTGCCTTCAACAATTAAAACCTGCAGGGTTAGGTACGTAAAACTGAAGCCAATTGGACATAACAGAATATTATCCACTACAGCTGCAACATTCTGTAGGAAAGTGTGGCATGCTCCCTAACTGCATGGTGAGCTACCTTTCATTTCATATTTTCCTTATGCAATTTATTTCACAATGATTAAATCAAAAATATAAGCAATGAACTTACCCAAACTCTTTGATCAGGCAATTGGAACTGGGAGCAAAATTGAAACAAAAACAACACATTATTCCCACATTGGAACCCTCATTGCAATCAATCTACTAAGTACGTTTCATTCTTTTTTAAATAACTCAAGGTTTTATTCTGAATACTTTGTTGTGCTGGGCCATTCCCTCCTTAAGAATTCAACCCTTGTAATGGTAAATTATTGCAAAATACAGCTAGCTGGCTGCCCTAATCTTTCACAGCTGCTGGACCATGGGCACTGAAAGGGCTTTTGCCCAAGCAGGGATGGAATAAGGACCACAGGTTTTATATCTTTAATAGCTAGTCCAAAAAGCTACTTTAAAGATCTGTTAACAATCACATTATTCACTTATTTTTTTTCAGCTAAATTCCTGCTTAATCAAATTATAAATTTCACAAACAAACGCACCTATAGAAATACAAATTTGCAGGAGCCAAACACCAGAAATATTTTATGTTTTACACAGATAAATCCTGCCAGGAGAAAATGGAAACTCGTGGTGCAATCCACACCTGCGCTTTTACAGGGGTGAACAGCGCTGTAAACCGAAAGCAGCTCCCCTGCACGCCGTTCCCCGCTCCTCCATAAACACGGAGCCCGATCCGGCCGCTGCGAACAGCAGAGCCCTTCCCAAGAAGGCCGGCAAGGAAGCCAGCCCGTTTGGACACTGGCTTTCTCGACAGGACATGGGATCGGGCTTTAGTTTCCCCTTATGACGTGTTAAGAGCGGCTGCAGCGCTCGCCACTTTGGTATCAGCCCATCTCACCACGGGCACGAGCCCCAGCAGCACCACCGGGGGGAAAATGAAAGCCAGTCCTCACCACGCATCCCGTTTTTTTCCTATTGTGCAATGAAAAATGTGAATAAACGGGCAAACTGGCGCAACGCACACGCTCGCTCCCGGAGCACGTGACGGGGAAGCTGCAGTGGTATCCCGCAAAACAAGGCCTGTGTTTCACRGGAGGCCTGTTCCTCCTGGCGGGATGCGGGGCCTGGGACACTGCCAGCTCCGCTCRCTCCGGGTCACGGATTCGCTACCTATCCTCCGTGACACAGGACTTCCTAAGCGGCACCGCGGGAGCTGCTCCAGATGCACTCTAGTACCCGARAAACTCCACATTATTTTCATTAACCCCTCACTACCTACAGGCATCGGACCTGGAAGGGAAGGTTCTCTCTGTGTTCTCCACCCACGCAAGGACATCACAGCTGAGTGTCTGCAGTTGCATGGGCTGTTATCGGTCCTTACCAGATCTTCTCCCAAACCTGTCCTCCTCACGTCTCCACAGGGCCTATATTTCAAGGGCATTTACTCCTTGAAACACAAGGAACAGCCATGGACACCTGCACTGACAAAGAGCACCTGTGGCAGGGTGGGCCCACAAATTCAGAGGAACCAGAGGTTGCTTCTGCACTTAAAACACAGGACCCATTTGGGGCATTTCTACTAGGATGAATCTACAGTCAGTAGAGGGTCCAAATTTGCAAATACCACAGAGGATTTTAGATTGGGCGCAAGATTTAATCCACACAGATACTAACATAAAATCTCCTTGAGCAAGGACAAGGAGGACACAAGGAGGGTAGGGTGCTGGCCAAGGAAAGCAACGTGGAGTCTTCCCACACATACTGTTTCTGTGACTGTTGCTTCAAGGACACCTCTGAAATTGTTGTTACACAGCAGGCAACGGGCAGGACAGTAAGCACTAGACCTATACAYAGGACAGTAGTTGCCCTGTATAGCAAAATCTGATGCTTTTCAGGCATGTAGAAAGGATTCTACAAAGCCCTTGGACACACTCTAGCTCCACTACTCCTAACTAAGGAGATATAGGGTTTGTGTTACACGAGCAGAGAAGCTCACCTGTGTAGAAGGTTTTCTCACTTTTCTGGGAGTCCCTAAACATTGACGAGAGGGACTGATCACATAAAGGCAGCCAAAGAGATGACAGAGATGCTCAGTTTTGCAGGATCTACATCATTCCCTTGTAATTAGTATTGACTCCACTGCAACCACCCGCACCTGGGAGCCTGCCAAACAAYGGGGCAGTTCCCAAAGTTGGTAGTTACGACAGTTTTGTAGGAATACAGCCCTAAAACATGCATTTAGCTTGGACCTGGCTTCCTCTGTAATCAAAACATGTTGTTTCATCTGCARAACATCAAGAAGCTCAGAACAATGCTGATGTTTTTCCATCACAATGATGAAGTCAAAATTGTGTGTCTTAGGAAATCCAAAAATGACTAAGACTGCATTCATTTCTCTGCACCTGCTTTGAAGCATCAATAGGCCTGTTTACAACATCAAAATTCCCAAAATACTTACTTGTGGATGAAACAAGAATCCTGGGGAAGGTCTCAAGTATTTTTCTTTTAAAGCTTCAAGCGGGTCAGTTAACTTTCTTTTCTCTACTCTGTAAATGTTAAAATCAGATTTGCTTGTGATGAATCAGTCTCAGGTATTAATAATTATACAGCTACTCATGTTTAAAATAATCAATTGCACATCAATTTGCTTTACAGGTTAAGGTAAAGGTTAAGGAAGTACAGGCAACCCTCGATACTCGCACACAACTCATTACTACTAGAGGGTGTTGTGAAATGCCCTTACAGGGAGATTTTACCATTTACACAGTGAATCATCCCCTTTCAGAAAACCAGTAATAATGGCATTAGAAACCTGTGACTAACCACGAGGCACTTGTATGAAGAAATCCGGCCCGAGTGCTTTTGCCACTCACAGGAGTAGGATTCAAGGCTGAGGAGCTCTGAGCAAGAGGTCTCTTCTCACTTGCCCATGGGAGATATTAGAGCCACAATCCTGGACCCTGCTCCTTGTGCACACACAGTTTGCGTGGCACGGAACAGCAGGAAACACAGGCTGGAAGGAATACTCTATCCGCAGTAAAGATTGCGATCAACTAACTGTGCATTTAGGTAGTGAAACGTAGTGCTGGTGTCCAGAATCAACATGGAAATTTGATGCAAAGTCTTTTTGCTTTCTCTCCTGCTTATATACACAGCTTAAGGGACAGATCTTGTCCTTATATATGCAACTCCTGACAATGGAGGGCTTGGCAACAACGGCCTCATGTTAGGCTGGCAGAATTTGCATCAATTTCATTAGTTTGGAAGGCACGAGCATAAAACAGGAGTTGTTTCCACTGTTTCAGTCACTTAAAATAAATATGATGCAAAAAAATCTTATGGTCTAATACAGATACCAATCTGGCATGAATAAAATTGTTGTAATAAGTAGCCTCATATCCTGTTTCTTTGCAGTATCTCTGGTCTTAGGTAAGACAACATTCTGCGAAAGTTCTGCCAAGAGCAGTTCTTTTTTAGATAGATAAAGTTAAAAGTTAAGAACATTTATATGCCAGTAATTTTACTCTACTTTTCTGTTCCTGAAGACTGATTTAGATGCRTGGCTACTGCTGATTGCAGATATACAAGCAGAATGGCAAAGGGCAAACAGTGGCTGACGTACACATTACGTAGGTGAAATCCCAGTGAAACCCATGTCAGTCCTGCTGGAAGGCACYGAGACACCAGGTTTTTGCAACCAGTTTTTAAAATCACTGACAGGGCCTACTTGTGTGTCCATCAACGTCAAAATCAAAGCTCCCACTCATTTAGTAAGGTAGCTCAGATTAACTTAAGCCTTGGTTCGTTTTTGCATGCCCAAGGATGTTGTGCCCTCACTTATATTAATGAAATGTCTAAAAAGATCAACACGTTGCTCAAATCAATGTAAAAAAAGGCAGAATTCACTCTCAATTTCCATGCTCCTTACCATCCTTAGAATAAATTTGCCTCTTTGCTTTGCTTTACCTATGATATACTCCTTTTTAACACAGAAGGAAATAGAAAGGTGGTGCACATTTGGCCCAGAAAACCTTTTGAAATGCACTCTGGTTTTCAGGGAAGGGAAGGCGAAAGGGCAGGTAAAGCCAGTGAAGCATTATGGAAGAAAAGTAATTTGTGGCAAACCAGTGTTTTCACAGATACGATATACAAAATATATGAAGATACATCAGTGATGCAAATTCATTTATGGTAAGAGAATATATTTGACTTCTGCACACTAAGCTGTGCACATTGAAGTAATATCTATCTTCAAACAGGACAGTAACAGACACTTGCTAACTACAGAACTGCAAGCCCTGGGCTTTGAGCTCAACAGCTGTGATTTGAGGTGGGGGGTCCAGGTTCACATGGTGCCTGGATCATCACGTGCCCAGGTGGCCACATTTCCTTGCACTGATGCCTGCATGGAGAAAGGGCTGTCCTGCATCTGCGTGCAGGCAGCGTGGACACGTCTAACTYGCTATCCTGAAGGATGCTGAGACCCAGCATAACGTTTTACCTGTAAATGGGATCCATAAAGAACGGGGTTGGTCTGGCATGCTGCAAAGAAGACTCGGAAGCTTTCCTTTGTTCGGGGTCACCTCCTTTCTTCTCACCAAAGACGTGGTTTTTCCGGGGCTCGGCGAGTTTTGTGCCACTGGCTCGACTTCGGCTGCCCATGCTGAGATCTAGAGGCTGGTCCTGGCTTGTCACGGATGGAGCTGATGGCTTTGAGGGTATAGAAGTAACTGGCTTCTCCTCCTTGCGCTTAGTGGTGAGGTCAAAGGGAGACTCAGAGCTTCCCTTTGGGATCTTCTTAATTTCACTGGGTGATTGGGGCTCCATTTTCAAGGGTAACGGTCTCAAGTCTCTATCAGGAAATGGATACATTGATTGAGAGAATGCTGGAAAAAATGGGAGGGGAAACATGGAAGGGTAAGGTAAGGCTCCAACTTTTTTGTCTTGCAGCCCCACAAGTCCTGTTGAACCAAAGTATTTTTCAGCAATAGAAGCAATAGCCTTTATAGAATCATTCACAGCTCCTGACACCGCAGTCTGCTCCTCTAAAGATGGTGAGAAAATGGAATGATTGCTGTGTTCTTTCTTATTATTTATTGAAGCCAAATTCTGCAGAGAGCTTACTTTGTCTTTGAACATTTTACCATTTTCTTTAAATTTCTCTTTCTCACTTTCAATGTCACTTTCCAGATCAGAGCCAGAGGTGGTTTCCAGGTCACTGCCACTGGGGGTACTGACATCGTCAAGGTCACTACTCTCTGACTGGTCACTGAGTTTTTCATGCGGCCTCTCTTCAGAGGACCTCTCTGGTTGAAGCTCCACTGGCTTATTTTCACCTACAGATGGTTGCTTATTTAGTGCCTTCAAAATATCCTGTGTAGCTGGCAGTATCTGAGGATTGGTCATGAGGGGACTTTGACTTTTGTTTGTCTGATCTGCGCTCGGTAGTCCTTTAACAGGAGAACTAGCAGGTATCAAAGGTGGCCTGTGGTACAAGCCTGAAGGAAACAGACCAGGGAAGCTAAAAGAAAATCCAGGAGCTGTTGGAAAGGTAAGACCAGCAGGATGCCTATTGGCTCCAAAATAGTCAGCAAGGCCCGGATTTGCATGATTCATATTAACCATGGACGTTTTATCCATAGCTGGGGTTCCAGGAAGTGAAATGCCTTGGCCAAAAAATCCTCCTGCTGCAAAATGGTTCTTGCCCTCACAAAATCTCCTGTGTTTATTTAAGGAAGACGTAGTGCTGAACATTTGTCCGCAGTCTTTGCACTTGATTTGGGTTCTGCAATCAGCATGCATGCGCTTATGACGACAAAGGTTTGAAAACTGAGTATAGGATTTATGGCAGACCTCACCTGTATGTGAACAACAACAACAACAAATCTCAGGCTTTGCAGTAATTGCCCCCACCCTCAAAAATTTGCAAATAAAACAACTTTTTTTTTACCCTCCAAATGTCAATTCGGAAGTCATAAGGAGAAGTCTGGTTGCACAAATGTATGAAAGCTACAGTACTATTCCAAAGCAAGGCATCCAAGCAGACAAATGTCTAAAGACAGCACACACCCCCAAAACAACAAAACAAAACAACAAGAAACACAAAACAGAACAAAACCCAAAGCAAAAGCCAAACCTCCAACAAAACAGATAAGGTCTGAAATTGCTAAAATTTAAAGTTTGTTCCCCTGCTTCCTTTTTGCACCACACAGACTTTCCCCCTTGGAAGCATTATTTCACATTGCATCAGCACCCAGAGCCCAGGCAGGATGTGCAGCCCCAGGGCTGCGACGCCGTGTGAAGCATTTCTGCCTCCAAAGGGCTCTCTCTTTGAMGGCATTCATTTATGCTGCTATTCACATGTGTAAAGTTACTCAGAACAATTAATATTTGCGGAGACAGACAGAGCAGCTGCCTCAGAGCCGTCAGTCCCAAAGATGCCAAGGATAGAGCAGAGGTGAAGAAGGAGACAACTGGATATTTACAAGCACATGCTATTATTAACAAACAACATTTTTTTTTCCATTTACAATTAAGAAATTAAGCTTGCGGAAGTCTAAGCTACGGTTTCTAAAATAACCTCAGTCAAGTACTCTCACCTGTCCCAAGTATTTCTGCTCGTGTAATGCATATGGTCACTGTGATATAGCAACAGGTGCCTTGGAAGCCGTGGCTCTAAATTCCACATCTTAATAGCATCATTAGTCTTAGCATTGTTTATTTCTCCCTTGCATGCGATAAAAATATATACTGTGAAAAATATACTATATTTAACCAGGAATTTCCTTGAAAAATACAGTGCTATTAATCTGTGTGCCTGATGCTCAGCACATCCCAGCTGATTTCCTCTCCAGTAATTTCAGTTTCACAAAAGCAGCAGCTGGAGAAAGCCTGAAGCTACGGAGCAAGATCTGCCTCAACCTGATGGCCTGATTTAGACTGCAGCATTTAGCAGGATTCCTACAAAAATAAAAATCATTAGCAGGAAGCTGAAAGCAGTCCTGTAATCGGAACAGAGCCGGACACCCCACTGTGAAGATGAACTGTGCCACTGAGGGGAATCCCATTGCTGAAATATCCCATCTGTAGCTAGAGTGGCTACTCCCAACATCTCATTTCCTGCCTTGCCTTTGCTGCCTGGAGAACGTCCTTGGTGCTCCAGGCCTTAGTGAGCAAGTTATTGGGGTAGTGCCCAGATTGGAGGTCTACGTGTCTGACTGTGCTTTGCCAGTCCCACCAAACGTCACAGCTTCACATCTACCTTAGGGTACCTTTGGGGGAATTTTATATCCTTTTGGGTTAGCAGAAACATCAGACAAGCTCCAAGGTTGCGCTCTTTCTTATTCTAAAATATGCCAGGACCTCTGCACTACCTTGCTTCTGGTAGCACAGGCGCTAGCTTTCTTTAAAAACATAACAACATCAGCAGCAAGTGGTGTTATCTCTCTGTAATAAATCCTCTCTTTTTTTTTCCAGTCAGGAAAAAGCATGTGGCCACTTTATTTTTATTTAATTTGCGTTATATCATAAGCTCTCATCTTTCACACATCAAAGCCACACAACAATGCGCATTGTGTATTCGGGGGCCTTTTTAACAATCATTTTCAAGATTTGAGACAGTCTGACATAATTTACAATGGCTCTATTTTAAGCCCGCAAAGGAAACTGAATTGAATGTATCCCATCCTGCACTGTTGGTTCCCATGAACCGTAATCACGTCCTCTCGCTTCCACTCGCATCGGGGCCACGCTAACCTTCCTGCTCCTCTGAATCTCTGCCCTTGAGAAACTCGGCTCATGTTGTCATGTCGGGGCTGTTTACCTCTCCAGTGGGCTCAGTGACAATGTGCCATTGTCTGCGGGCCTGATCCTGCCCCCCGGCAGCCCCGGCACCGCTCCTGGGGTAAAGGGTGCGGAGCTGGGCCYAGGCACCGGAAAGGTGCAGGGCACTAATCCAGGAAGAACTCTTGTCGCTGGCTATCAGGTATTGTTCCTGGTGGAAACCTTCATTCACAATGAAATGGGAAAAAGGGAAAAGGGTGAGGAGAGGAAAAGAAAAAA